AGTACGTGAGTCTTGAAAGGGGCCTTGAAGTGACAAGTTGGATGGATCTAAAGTTAGACCGACTGGAAGTAGGGAGAAGTCTAGAATTAGTAGTAGGAAAGGAGAAAGATGATCGCTAAGAAGTAACTATATACATCTAACTGTCCTTCGGAGATTCAACCGAGAAAGAGAGAAATATGATTATAGCAATAACAATAATGCGAGTACGGAATGAGGGAGAAAGGATCGAAACAAAGCGAGAACGAAGCGAACAATGACGTGAAAGCATGCGGGAAAGCGGGGTTTTCGGAGAGTTAGGATTGAACGCAAACAATAAAAAGAGACAAAGGACAAAAGAACAATGCACGAGGCAAGGAGTTCAATCAAAAAATCGACAGAAAAGAGAATAAGGAACGTGTGCTTTGACGTGGAATATAGCGATCAAAGAGACGTGCCCTGCGGATTGGCCTCCCATCGTTCTCCTCCTCCTCTCATGCTCGGAATAATCAGTCAGGAAGTTCAAACTCGGGGACAGTGGCGGACGGTGACTGCGTTGGCGGACGGGACCTGTCGAAAGAGGCCGAAATATAGGATGAGCCAGGGGAGCCACCGTGGAACAGATCACGGTATATTGGGTCATTGTAGGGCGAGGATCGGTCAGAGAGAGAGGCAGAGGGTGAGGAAGCAGACGGAGAGACAGGAACGGGAGAGAAGCTATGGGGGGAAGAGCTCGATGCAGGCGAAGAAAAAGATGGGAAAGGGACGTGGGAGGCAGGCGAGGAGGGATAGGAAGATGAATACGGCGATGACGGTCCCAAGGAGCTGGGTGATGGATGGGAGACCGGAGGATATGGCTGCCGGGCCTGTTGGATGTGTAGCGGTCTATTGGGCGATGTCGAGAAATGGCGTGGTTGCGGTTGCAGTGGTTGCAGCTGTTCGATCGGAATGGTCGTCCACTGGGCTGGCAGAGAGCCACTGGTGATGTGGGGGTGCGGGGGTAGTTGGGTGGGCTCCTGGATGTTGTGTGCACCCCGAGAGTTCTGTTGAGCTTCGAGGTGAGCGATCATCCTCCGGAGCCTTACCTCTTGGCGACGTTGCGCTTGGGCGTACTCTTGCTTAAGCTTGAGGAGCCGTACCTCAGCATCCAGGTCTCCAGACTCAGAATTCTGGAGAGAGGCGCCGGGAGCAAACGTAACTGGACCGGAAGGAAAGTGGAACTGAGTTTGCGGATGCTGTCCGAACGGTTCGAACGTTTGGAAGCGGCCACCCTGCACGACCTCCGCGCCAAGACGGTCAGGATTTGCGATTTGCATCTCAGATAGCCCATGGGGCATTTCGAAGCCTTGGGATGAGCCGGGAAGAGAGGGAAAGGGAGGGCGAGGAGCTGTGGCGTAGGAGGAGCCTGGCTGGGTGAGGGGGTTCCAGGAACCAATCGTCATAGGACCAAAGGCATACGCCGAACCCACATCGAATGGCGGAATCTGAAAGGGCGTCTGAGGCACGGTTTGGTTGGCCGGGGGAGGTGGGGCTGTGGGATGGGTGGGGAACAACTCATTTGTGGCGCACGATTGTGCAACAAGTGGAGCGACTTCGACCGTCGGAACTGGCGGAGCGAGGACCCAGGGGAAAGCCGAAGAGGACCCACTTGTCGGTCTCCAAGTGGCAACGGCAGGAGGAGCGTCGAGGGGAAGACACGAGAGGCCGTCATGACTCTTAGCCTGGACATCGAGGGAGTGAGGTGGGGGTGGAGATGACTTCCTCGTTTTGCCAATGGTAGAGGACGAACTGTTTGCGGTGGAAGGATCAGCCCCTACAGGAGCAATGTTCCGCCGCTCGCTTTGGCTTCCTCGACTTGTCTGCTCAGGGCCGCGTGGATGCGACAGATTTCTATGCAGAGCGCTTTCCGAGGTTGGCGTGCGTCGTTTCTTGAGGTTCTTTTGTTGGTCGTCGTCTTCACCCTCCTCATCGGTTTTGTCGCGTTTATATCGCCCTTTGGTAGAGTACGTCTCTAGTCAAGATAGTCAGAGATGGGGAACCATCGAAGGAATGATGTGATCGTCTTACTTATCTGAAGTTCCCCTCCCACCCCCACCATGATATGTTCCTTCATTTGGACCTGGTAACGAGCTGGAGTTGGTCAGCAAACTGGGTATGCGCCACATTCGGGCAGATCACTCACCGTTCGTTCTGGAGGAACCTTCTGCTGTCTGAGTTGTGTTTCTAGACACCACTTGTTTGCCGGTGCGTTGGTTGCTCATGCGTCGTTGAGAAGTCGCGTCGATAGTGGTCGAAGATCAAGTTTGGGAGGAAGATCACCTCCGCGCGCTCGGCGTTTTTTAAACTCAATTCGACCGCTTGAACCAAGCGTGAGTCCCAGTCACATAGCAAAGCCCCTCCCATTGTCGTCTCGTGATTTTCAGGACCCGCGTGCGATATCTATACACCTTTCTCGTTACGCCTCGGGCTGTCCACGTCAATACATGCAAGGCGACCGGCCACAGGCCGGTGTCCTATAAGGTTTGATGATCGAAAATGAAGGGACTGCACAAAAATGAGGGAGAGAGAGGGTAAGGCCATTGATTCCACAACCGAAAACTTCTGATCGATTGGACCCACACTGGTAACTCAGGCGTTGTTCTCGAGGACTTGCAAGTACGATTCGTCTGCCCTCCTGGTTGCTGGGGCTCGACCTCGTTTTCGCTTTATGGTTCATCCACACTTGACTTTGACGGGGTGATAATAAGAGATGGTGGCATGCTGTTGAGGGAGAAGGAACTCACAACCAACAAAGGAGAAGCGGGAAGAATTGTATCGTGTTGACAAGTTGCCTTTTTGAGATAAAAGGTTATGAACATCGTCGGCGATTGATTCTGTGGTCCTCTGGGCCCCGCCGCCGGATTGAGTAGAACTTTTAAGGTTCAATCAATCCAAATTCGTCCTGTAAGGTCGTTGAGGGGATAGGATTGGTCCATGGTCGACGGTCCCTGTGGCACGGCTAACTCGAATACTCTGTACACTCCAGATACCGCCTCGGGTCGGAGGACCTATGCAATATGTTCTGAGGGAATCTTCAGGATGTCGGTGACGACGATCTTACGTTGGGTAATTGAATTCTCACCTTCTACGTAGAAGGATCCTGGTGGCATGAATCGAGTTCCTTGCATTCATCTTCTGGCAGGCCTGGAGTGACCTATACCTGCATCCTACTGAAATAGTCTATGCCCGAGTCGTTCTGCATCTTGTTGAGCTAGTAGAGACGATAATCAGTTGTCAGCACAGAGGAGGGTAATATTTCTCACCATAAACTGTTCATTGTTAGCCATCCGAGAATGGTACAAGGAAATCGAAGGGATCCCGAAGGCTGTGTGCACAGTGCCGGTGTAGATACCGCCTGGGTTCAATTTAGCGTCACTGGAGCGCGTTTTTCGCGCGGTTCTGAGGACCTACAATTCGGATAACAAACACAAAAGAACGTTCTGGCAGAATCAGAGGGATTGCGCAGCCTTTGAGGCATGGTCAAGTCGGGGAGAAGTCGGTGGTGGTAGTCGACAACAGAGCGTCATCATGATTTGAACTTCTCACGCTCTCCGCCTTCATCCGCCCATGTTCCCCGCGCCTCACGCGCGAATCGGCTGGATCATTTCCTTGCCGTCTTTCGACAACTCTTGGGAGATCGTGCGTCATTTGATTCAGTACTCGATACAACTGAGGCTAGATCCTAATCCTGTCGGGAGGTATCTAACCTAACGCACCTAAAACCTTGGTGAGTGTAATTTCTTAAAAGTCGAAACTTTGGCGGACGAGCTATTGGCTCTGGCACATTTTTCCCTCAAAGGGTTGATCATAGATTGAGCTAGGCCTTCTCATTCAGGATTTCCAGAGTTGCCTCAATGGCGGAGGGCGGTCATGAAAGGTATCATCCCTGCTGCGTCTATTTTATGTGCGGCCATCTCTGAAGCTCCATTCTCAGGGCTATTTGGTCGTAAACTACCTGAAGGAATCTTGGCTTGGTTAGTGTCCGTTGTCTATGCGAATGTAGGAAAGTTTACGTGGTTCTTCGTTCGCCGTGTGACCCTGACTCACCTTGAATCACTTCCCTAGATTCATCGACGCAAAGGGTTTATCAGAATGCTCGAAAATGTTTGTCGAACCTAGGCCGAGGCTAAGCCTGGAGGGAGTTTCGACGGTGCAAAAGAAGACGCAGAGTGCAAAGTTCTGATCATGAAAGGCATCCCCCCCCCCGTCACGACAAGGGGCTTGACCTGGATATCGTTCGAATCACACTCTATTCACATCAGTGTCACGAGCTCTCGTTTTCGGTGTTTACATGCACTAGGAATTATGACTCGAGATCATCGGTGTGGGGGCGGAATGAGGAGGATTGAACAGGGTCGAAAGAAACGGGAAGCGGGAATGGAACTCTTTCCACGACCGAAGAACGACACGGGTGAGTGGAACACTCCATTTTCAGGTGAATCAGAATTTCTAAACTTACCCATTGTAGGTCAGCCAACTCGGCGTCCCGCTCAATTGAAGACCTCTGAGCCCGCTTGTGCTTTGGCACACGTCCAGGCCCATGTGTACCAGGACCCACAAAGGCCTTGCTCTCGAGTCATTGTTGGATAACCCGATGGAGGAGAATAGGCGCTGTAGGTGCCGCGGGCTTGTGAGGATCATGGTGTCAGTGCGAGCGCTCACATGCGCAATTCACTTTCAATTCACCACACAGTGCATGACGCCTCTCAAGCGAACTTGTCCGAGACTGTGGCATCCGCGGTCACGTACGAAGAAATCAGCACCGAAAAAGGGGATTTAATAATGGATGGAGTAGGACAGTGCTTGGCTCGATTGATAGTGCTTGAACCTCAATGTGTTGCTCATCTCGTAAAAAGGCCCTCAAGGGTCTGTGGTCAATATTGACCCACTCATAAGGTGGCTGTTTCTTGTGGGTCCACGCCGTAGCCGGATTATTAGATCTCATTACGAAGTATATAGGGTACTTGTTTGAAACATTTTCTATCTGCCCCATGGCTGAGTTGGTTACAGCGTCCGACTGTTATTCTGTGTTGGCATGAAAATCAATCGGAAGGTCGTGAGTTCGAGCCTCACTGGGGCAGGCATTTTTGTTTCCTCTCCCCTGCTACTTACTACCCTCGATGACCTCACCTTTGCACCTTTCCCTGAAGCTTTCTTTCTTCCATGTTGAATGGTCGTCGACTCTTCCACACTCACCACCCAATAAATGTGACCTTTTTTACTCCACGGGCCTTGCGATCACAAAGGAAGCTCAAATTATCGCTTTTTGACTCTACGTTTCCCTCGACCTGGACGGCCAGAGAATGACTGGCTTGTCGACGTCTATGACTGGGAGAGATGACGACTATGATTTATGGAAGAGTACTTCAGAATCGTAGCAGAAAGGGTCAAGGTACGTGTTTTTGTACTGTCTCTTCATTGTACAGAGACTGATAGCATTTTGCTGGCCTGTCTCTCCGAAAAACCTCAGCAAATTACATAGCGACGGAGAAGCGCAACCTTTTGGAAGGGAAAGAGAAAATTCCGAGATATCACACTCGCGAACGATATGGAGGCTTCGCCATTTTACTGCATTCTGCGTAGGCACAGGGAAAATGAAATAGAAGCGAGAGGTGCGTTGTTTTATAAACTGTTCGATTCCTCGCTAAAGGACGATCCTTAGTTAGATTACCCCTCATTATGCCCATGGAATTGCAAAGAAGATCAACGTTTTGCTTGTTACGCACATTTGAAGACTTTAATTCCTGGATTCCAATACACAGAATATGGGAACCACACCCGAACTCTCCGCCGCAACCGCGCGATGTCAGGCTCTTTGCCCCTTCCCTTTCAAGAGCTCTTGACCTGACGGGGTATGTGGATTGAAGATTTTGACACCACCATACCATTCGAATCAGCCCAGGATGAATGGAATACAGGGTCTCGCCAATCTTGGAATCGAGGCGGAATTAAAGGTAGCGTGTTGTACACGCAGCTGCTACATCATTTTGACCCCTAAGTATGTTGCGCGGTCAAGGTCGGTTTATATTGTCTCTCGTTGTAAGCTATGCGGACTAAGTGCTAGGTTTTATTACTGGTCGGGCTTTTTCGTGCAATACCATGTGTGGGGTGTGATGTCATTCACAGGCCGTCTCGCTCAGCCTGAGATGACAACAGCCTATGAAGCGCGAATTTGGTGACCTTGCTCAGTTTTCGATACTGACCAGGCTGTTTTTCAGGCTGGGCGCTGAAGCTGAAGCGCTGAGGCTTCATCCTTGTGCCAACACCTCGCGAAATGCAGTGTCACGGAGAGTAGGAGCGTGTACACTGTACAGCACTTGCCTTCCCTGCAACGTTCACTTTCAGACGTAACATGTGACCTCGTATGTGCGTTGACTGAGCAAGACAATGAAGACAACTCTCTGACTCCAAATGTAGACCACAATAAACCCTTGGCCAAGAGTTTGCCGGTGGCATGTTCAAGGCCCTGCGTTCATCAATCCACGATCACGCTCCTTAAACCACAACCACGATCATCCCTCTTTACCAAACATCGACCTTACCTCTGATTTTTCGTCTGCCTCCTTCGCCACGCCTTTACTATCTGCTTGCTTATCCATTTTCAATGCGTCGCACGCCCAGTACGAGAACTATTGCACGCAAGCAGCCTCATCGCGCCCAGGCCGGCGTAGGTGTCATTCACCTTCAAAGTGTAGCATGTTAACTAACACACTCTTCAGCCTTTGACACAACAGCAGGAAGAACTAGATGATACCGTCCATGATACCAACGAGGCCATGGTGAGTCGGTTTTTGGCCCCAAACCTGAATAGCTGACGAATGTCATCATCTTGTCACCATTTCTAGACGCTCGATGAAGCGACTGTAGTTGACGCCACAATTCCTGCTGCCACGTCCCCACCGTCTCCTTGTCCGACCAACCGCGTCATACCCAAACCACGATCGGTGACCGAGATCGCTGAAGAGCTACAACAATCTGGCATCACCGTGGTTGACTACGCCTATATCAATCCACGAGTAAGCGCCTCATCGTCGCGACCACCCTCCACACCACATACAAACCCCCCGTCCGTCGAATACCCGACTCTCCTTCCCCCAACTACCTCCCACATGCACGCCAAAACTTACCTCGGGATATATGACTACTACCTCTCGCAAGGATCTGCAGATGGTGGCGAATCCGACGACGACAATATGACTGAAGTCGCCACCATTGTCGGCGATTCCAGTTCTTTTGCTGGGAGCGTCGGTCGGATCAGTGCTCTGGGCTCGTCAAGCTCAACCGACACGTACAACCCCGATTTTGCCTCAGGATTCATTCCGTCGTCTTCTCTACCTAGGTCGTCTCCTCTCCCCAAGTCTTCTCCTCCACCGTCGTCAATGCCACGAACAGAGCCAGAGCCAGAGTCGCCAGTGAAGACGCGTATTCACGCCATCCCTGGGACGATCACGCATAGGTTGCTCGAGATTGGGTGGATCACCGAACGGGACGTCGAGAAGAAGTTGCTTCCCATCGACCGAGAAGCTCTTGATGCCCACCGAGTATTGATGAGGAAGTTCTCCTCAGACCTTGAGAAACGTGTCGCCGAACACAACGCTCAGCTTTTCCAGCACCTCCGGTCCAACGCTACAGACGGCCAAGTCGACATGAAGGAGTTCCAGCGCCTCGTCGAGAGGAAGTCGAAAGAGGTCCTGCGATTCGGATTGGGAGGGAAAGGAGAATATGGGTACCCGTATCACGTTGATTTCAAGAGCAACCCTAGGCGGGTTAAGGAGAATCTTGAGTGGAGAAAGTTGCCTGAGGAAAAGCGGCCGAAGCTGGAGTGGATACCCAGATTTCTCGAAGAGGAGGAGACACCGAGATTGGGAATTGGGAGGCCGCCGACGACGGTATATCGAGATTACTTGAGGAAGTTCCATGCTTTGGATATGGAACAGTGGTTCCTGGCGTTCGACGAGTACGAGAGAGGAAGGACAGGAGTCGTTAAAGGAGACGGTGAGGAGGAGGACGATGAAGTAGACGATTTAGAGGTTGAAATGGACGACCCAGCTGACGTGCTTCTGGACCTCATGGACGAGGCAGCTATGGATATCGATCCACAACCCGACAGCTTCCATGACCCGACTCAAGTCGTTGATAGACATCTTCCGGTTCCAACATTTTTGAACTCACCGACACCACAATGTAGCCCCGTGAAGGACCGTCGCCGGGCTCTCCTACCCCGGAAGATACGTGGTCAGTATTGTTTTCGAATCTTCACTTGTGTACAGATACTAATACAGCTATCACTTGATCCCCTAGGTCGACCTGTTCCGACTACGGAACCAATGGAGGATCGTAAGGGAGCAGACATACTTGAACGGGTGAACGATGCGCTTGCACCGACAGAACTCGAAGACTGTCGTTCGTGCTCACCCGTCAACACGTACAATCATTCTCCCATCCCCGGACCATCAGATAGGTCTTCCCGACCACCTGTTCGTAGGCGGGTTCCCGTGGTTCTGGATGACTCCTCGACGATGTTCAGTGAGTATCGTTTCTTCAAAATTTTCGTCCTTGTGCTCATCGCATCTCTTCTGTTGCAGAGCCTCGTCGTGCGAAAGACTTGAGAGTTGAAGCTGATGCAGCCGAGGACTCCAGAGATCCCCTAGACTTCGTTATAGTTTTACCAACCCGGGAGAATACGCCCACAAATAAGCGAACACAGAACACTCGGAAGAAGGGGAAAGCTAAAGCGATACCCGAGACAAAAGACGAACTTCCTGCACCCGCGACCACCCCTGGACCATCACGCCAACGCCGCCAAGCCCCTGCCCGTCGCCGGGCTCCTGTAATCGTGGAGGATTCCTCTGCCTTCTGGGATAGTAAGTGTTGCTCGCTCATCGTCTTTCATCATTCATTGGCTGATTGTCCCTCTGCTGTAGAGTACCCCAAGAGATCCGCAGCGAAAGCACTTGAGTCCAAAGACCCGGTCGATTCCTCCGTTGGTCCGTCAAACCCAGAAACAGTGCCTCCAGCGCCTGCCACGCGAAAGAGACGGTTGTCTCGTCCGCCTCCAACACTACTTACTATGGTTTTGAGGGAGAGGAAGAAACCAGAGGCGGTCATCGTTGAAGAGGATGATCCTAGGCCGGTAAAGAGACGGCGTGTTGCGAAGGAAAAGGGCGAAAGTGCCAGTGGGGGAGGTTCATCGAAGGCGCGAGCCTCCGGGAATGGGCGTGGACGTACGGCGAAGACTCGTAAAGGCTAATCATAAGGCAGCGCGATGGCACTTGCGTCAAGGAGCTCTACATTTCTTCATTTATACGGGTTACTATTTTGTTGAGTATGTATCAGGGTTATAGTATTGTATACGATCTATCTATATGTATGTTACTACTGTATATGTCCGAAAGAAGATGTAATCGATTAGATAAAGCTTGTTCCTACTGCCTGGTAACGGTTCGATGGCGTAGTTGGTTATCGCATCTGTCTAACACACAGAAGGTCCCCAGTTCGAGCCTGGGTCGAATCATTTTGGATTTGGTCCACATATGTTGATGTGGATCTTTCCGTGACCGTGCACCATCTTCTTGAAGCAAGTACCATCCAAGGCAAACGCGGTATTACGGTGGTCCTCTCTCTCTTATCATGGTCGGTTGAGCGACACCATGGGTCATTTTTCGGAACCAATGCCGGAGCTCTCAGCGGGAGGCACTTGATAGCTGGGCACTTTGAACCGATCAGTCGAGGATTTAAATCTGGAGAGACTTTCATTCGTCCAGTCGAATGGTGAGCATCTCTGAAACGGCCGCGACAGGTTGAGCCAGAGACTGGCCGGCGGGAGAAGCGGAAGTTTGAACGGCTGCTGTCGATCTCGAGGTGAAATGGTGCGGAAATCGGAGCACCACTGTAGCATGACGAGATTGGGGGCAGTGGCGCATGGGTAACGAGAGCGGAGAAAGCGGGTGTTTGAAGAAAGTGTCGGACCTTGAGTCCTTCGTGACTATTAGGGCTCGCCTTCACCTTGTGGGGATCCAGAGTTTCGAAAACTCTCCAGGATCTACGTTGCGAGATGGCTGAAGGTTGGTGAGGACAAAAG